TATATATATATATATATATATATATATATATATATATATGCACATTTTAATTTATTAAAATTGCACAAAAAAATGTCATGCAATTTGAAAAAATGTTTAAACAAAATTTTAGCAGTCTAAACAAAACTTTAGCAGTTTAAACAAAATTTAGCAGTCACAGAAACCGTGGAAAATTCATGGAAATTCACTGTTTTGGGAAACCTGGTATTCTAGGTTGGTTGGCACAGGAGTGTGTATTGTTTAAGCTCATTGATGTGTGTTAATTTGTGTGTGTAGGAACAGCATGGCTGATTTTGGAGGCGAGGTGATGGCGGAGGTTCTGGCTCAGAGAGCTCTGGAGAAACCAGTCATCCCTCTGATCCCAATCACCAACAGCAACCAGTACAGACACACAGAGAATGACCGGGACTACAAGATCAAGGTACACGCGCGCACACTCTTGTATCTCTGTTTATCGGGGCCAGTGGGCTCCCCCTTGTGCCCAAAACATACTTTACACAAGTACACAAGTGCTGTGTTTTATATAAAACTATTCTCTTTTGTGTTTTGTTCCTGCTTAATTGCCTTAATATTTGTATTAGGATTGTCAGAATTAGCGCATTAATGCAGGCAATTAATTTTTCCGGTTTAACTGTGTTAAATATTTAACACGGGCAGGGCTACGGTTGGCCACCCCACTCACAACTGCTGCCTCTGTCTCCCCCCTTTATATATATATATATATTTATTTATTTTTTTTATTTTTTTTCTTGACCAGAAGTGTTTTAGTCGTCGAATGTCTGTACAACCGCATCAAACAGGAGACTTTTCAGACGCGCACTTCAATTTCACTTCACGCTTCAGTTGCACGCTTAAATACGGTAGTGCGTGCTGTAGCCTGTTATCAATTCATATTAAAGCGCGAATAAAGCTCGGAGCATGAGTGTCAGAACCGGGTCATGTTCAGCAGCTCTGAAAGTAATAGCAGCCAAATAACCCAGCTGCTGTGATGTATATTAATCATAGAACAAAAGAAAAATAAGATATCCGATAATAGCAACTTGTAACATCAGGATTTGTAACTGAACTACAGTAAGTTAAGTTACAACTTGTAACTTAAATACAGGATTCATCTATTTAGTGCTTGATAACTTTATTAATTTCTGCATATTTCCTACTTACTGAAGGGCACAGGTAAATAATTGGTTTATGTGAAGAATGTTTTAAGTTCACTTCAATTAGTTGTTATTTTTTGAAGTCTAATAAATGTTCAAATTGATAGCTCTCAATTATACTGTAATGTTGAATGGCTGTAGTCAATGGTTAAATATTAGGAAAAAATGAACAATGTCCTAGAGACATCAGCATCGGTGATACTCACCTTCTTTAATCGCTTGACAGCACTAATTTCTGAGTTCCCATCTTGTTCAGTCAACTTGTTTTACAAGTGCAACAAAATTATTTAATCTCATGTGTTTGTTTTTTTTATGTTCGGCTGTAGATGGATAAACCAGAGGTTGTGCGGCAGAAACGGAAGTATGAGAAGAAGGCCAAGCCATTGCCATTGGCAGGCTCTGCCCATTCAGGCCCGGCAGTCTTTAACACTAAAGACCTCAATCAGTATGACTTTCCCAGCTCAGACGATGAGCCCTACTCACAGGTACACACACGTTCAGTGACAGATTCACAAGAGTCATTTTTTGTTTTCTCGTGACTTAAAACACTCTTGTTTGCTCAGATGTTCTCTGGCTCTTCAGAGGTTGAGGAGGAGAATGATCCAGATGGTGTGTTTGGGTTCAGGAGGAGAACAGGCTGTCAGTATCATGATGTACGTTGTGAAGCATCCTGATATGCCTGAATAAGAGCATGTTGTAAGGTTGCAGTCTAGGCTGTATGTTATTAGTAAATTATTCTGTGTTTTTCTCAAAGGCACGTTCAGGACCTGTGGGCGGTTGGCCCTGGTCAGACTCCGCCGAGGGTGGGGTAGCAGATGTGCGATATCGCTATTCTCTCACCACGCTCACGGTGCCACGACGATGCCTGGGGTTGGCACGTCGGCGAGTGGGCAGAGGGGGCAGGTGAGTTCAGCCACTTAAATTACATATTTTCATACACATAATTGCAGTTTGATTCAGTTAATTTTAATTATCTTCATTTGAGGACTTTGCTCAGCAAATAGTTGTGATTTCAGTTCATTGACAATTAACCACATATATTAAAATTTTAATTAGACCATTAATTACATATTTACATTTTTTTTTTTAATATATTTATATAATTATTTGTAGATAAATGCAATTGCATATGATTCAGTTCATTTGTAATTTGTATTCTTTATTTGATCTCAGGAAGTAATACTTGCGAATTCAGTCAATTTGCATGTAATCACATAATTTGCTGAGAAAATACAAATTATTGTAGTAATTTCAGTTATTTATGTGAATATTTTAACGTAATTGAAACTTGAAATTTTATTACTCTTATGTGTGATTTTAAAGGTTTTTTTTCTTTCAGCAAATACTAATATGCAGTTCTTTTGTGATTAAAATTTAATTAATGTGTATAACGTGGTTCATTCAGTTCATGTATGTATGTATGTATATGTTAACTCGTTGTGCAACATTAGATGAATTCTCTCTCATTTGTTTGTTTGTAGGGTTTTGTTGGACCGAGCCTACTCTGAATGGGATACTGTGTATCATGGGCTGGACCCGGATTCCCCCACATTCCCATCATTGTCTCCCACCCAGCAGCCCAGCACGGATACCTCACACACCAGCACAGATACCTCTACCCCCTCCTCCACCTCACCAGACCTCACACAAATCCTGCTCAATATCAAAGCCTGTCGCTGGAGGCATTTCAAGCCTCGAACGGCACCGCCAGACGATCCTGACAATCCTGAGCACTGGTCTGCACGGAGACCCCGCCGCGGCTTCCTCATCCGCCCTATCAACACGCTTCAGATGCAGAGAGGCCCCGCCTCCTCCGCCAAACCACGTGTCCGTCCACCCACACCCGGTGAGTCCCCTGGTGCCAAATAGTTCCTGAGTTTAGCTGCTTTTTTTCAGTTTTAAGACGGCATTTTTGTCTAGTTTTTAATGAGTTGTAAAGTTAATTTCAAAATGTGGTTGTAAACCACCTCTGACTGAAAACCCTTTACAAGACTACCAGAGCACCCCTATGAAAATGTTAGAATAACTTTTGTTAGCATAATGTGATGATCGTGAATCTTGACATGAGCAGTAACATCCGCTTCTGTCATGTCCTGATCTTTTCTCTGTACATGTGCTCCTGCAGCTTTCACCGCTGAGCAGTACCAGCAACACCAGGAGCAGCTGGCACTGATGCAGAAGCAGCAGCTTGAACAGGTTCAGCTACATCAGCAGGCTGGCAGCACAGCCATCACTAACAACCCCCAGGTGAGCCTTCTGTGACCATAGATCTTCAGTGTCTGTTAAACCTGGCATCTTTCCTAGTGCCTTGCTTCACGTCATGTCGCAGTACATTGACGTGAGCAAGAATTTGTTGATGTGCTTTCTAATTTCGATCGAAAGATTGTCCTGTTTTAAAGTAGTACATGAGACAATGTTTTAAGACTTATTTTGGTTAATAATCACGAGTCTTTCGTTGTCTGAGGACATATTTTGCGTGGCAACGACACTTAAGTCCTGTTCCCAAAATACTTTTACAGTTTATGGACCCTTCTCACAGCTAGATTTATAATGGTAATGTGGAAATGTCACAGGTGAGGGTTTTTATTATTTTTTTTATTTGATGCACTATACATTGTGTTTTATTAGCTTGGCATTAAGTTAATGCTGCTATTGACATCTTTTTGACTGATGTGATCAGAAATTTTTTTTTTCTTCTTTTGGAAAGTCTTGGAAACGCTAAACACTCTTTTAACTATTGTGACAAATACAAATTCAAAATGTACATTTGTTGTGATTTTGTTCCGTTCACCAATAAAGTAGTTCACCTCTGAAATTTTAAAAGGATCCATATGCGCTTGCTTTATATATGTGTATGTGTTTTCAGATGTTACATTTAAAGATGAACAGAGGAGAATTATTTTTTTTTTTAAAACATGAAAATGATATATTATTGATGATAAATGCAATTTTATAAAAGCAATAACAAGGTCAAGGTGTGTTTGCATCATGCTTATGTGACGGCACACCATTGACAATACCCATAATGTAGCACAACCTCTGCTGTTTTGATCACACAATATCCTTGAAAATGAATGGAAAAAGCTGTTTTCAAGTTGAATTTAATCTAAACAACTGAACAGATTTTGTTTTATTGAGCTGCTGTTTTGTATAGTTGTATAACTTCATAATGTGTGTTTTATACCTCAGAGTTTGGTGTCAAAGACGATAGACGCTGCCAGTGCTCAGTTTGCTGCCTCTGCACTAGTGACTCCTGACCAGCTGATGGCGCTCAAGAGTAAAGAGGAGGGAGTTGGTGTCAATGGAGTCGTCTCAGCCTCAGGTTGGTCTTTCTAAACTATACGCTTTCACCATTAATATATTTATCTCTCAGCACGCAATGAGTTCTGTTCTCATGAGCTTCCATCGTTTGACTCCGCAGGCATCTATAAGGGCTTACATCACACAAGCTCTGCAGTGTCGTCCATCCTTCCGTCTGCCGGCCCTACCTCCACCTCATCCCCCTCCCCCACTGCCGCCTCCACCACCACTAACAATGGAACCTCCTCGGCCAATCACCACGTCGGCACGGCCAGCCCCGCCCCTGGTCATGCGCTGATGGGTGGGGCCGTGAGAGTGAGCGTCCCCTCACCAGCAGGCACCTTGAGCATGCGGCAGCTGCAGCGTCAGCTCACTGTTCCCGCCTCTGCCCTAAAACTCGCTGCCAATGCCAACAGACCCATCCCAAAGGTCACCGCAGGGTCGACTACCCTCGACATGGGGCCCAGGTGAGTACCTGTGTGGGGTCAAAAGAATGTTTTTGGTTAAATAGAAATTAAAAGTACCATTTGTCGTCAACAAAAGAAAAGCATTAAAGGGTCATGAAACCCCAGACTACTTTTTCTGAGATTTTAGCAGAGGCGTTTGTGTTGCACATCATAGAAGACAATTTTAGCATTCGATAGTTCTAACTGTTGGAGAAAACTGGCTAATTTTAAGCTTTTTTTGCACTATTTTAATCTTCCGGGTTTAAAATCTACATCGTGTTGACCATTTGTGACGTGGCAATGGACTATAGTACATCGATGATGCGTTGGTGTCTATTAAATTATTCATGAGACTGTTTTTATCCTATGAGAAGACGCTTCGCTTAATTATTCACAAAAGCATGTGTTGATTTGCTATGACAGATGCTTTAGACTGTGAGATCGCATGCATTAACTGAGAGAAACATTCATGGATCGAAGGAGAGTGTTTGTTTTTGCTTTGTAATAAGAGTTCGGCACAAACGCGATTCATTCACTTAGTGAGTGTAACCGTTTTTACAGCTCTGTGACGCAACCGGTCAAAAGGCTTATGTAAACGCTGCAGAATAAGCCTAAAGTTATCAGAGGTGCAACAGCGCTTTTATTATATATGTTTTCGATGCAGAGTGCAAATGGCTGTGCATTTATTTGTGTTGAACTCATTTGCGATGAGAGTGAAATGAAGCTGTCTGAACCCGAAGCTGTGTGTGTTGTCTGTCTCCCCTCCCCCTTCGCGCCGCTGTGCACCACGCCCAATTTTTTACAGTTTAAAAAAAAATAAAAAGGGGTGAGAACTAACCAGTGCTGAAATGGGGTTTCATGACCCTTTTTTAAGGGATAGTTAACCCAAAAATAAACAGTAATTTGTTCATGTTCCACTCAACACAAAAAAATATATTTTGAACAATGTTGGTAACCAAATAGTTGATGCTGGCCATTGATTGTGTAAATATAGCAGTGTTTCCCATTCATTAACTTGACTGTTTCACAATAAACCGAAGATATTTTTATACTCATTATAACATAAAGTTCTTTAACGTTATGTTTCACACCATTGGTTTGGCTAAGTATCCGTCGAACGAATTAAAACCGAAAGCCTAATATGACTTATCAAGTCTGTTTGCGCTGCTTGTTTCAAAGTGAAGCGCACACGATCAGCTCGTGATCCGGTGTTTTCCATGTCTCAGAGTGGCTCAGTGACTGCAGTGAACTCCGTTATTGAATGTGCTGTGAGTTTAGCGCGTGTTTGGGAACGCAACGGCCACCAGTTATGCTTTATTTTTAATGGGCAAATGTTTACAGTATTTCATTAAATTAATAATGTTTGTAAACCTGTTTTCACAGAAGCTGGAGTTTGTTTCCTGCCAAAATTAAAGCTCAACTAAAGTTTCCTCAAATAAAAGCTCAAGAGTTTATCTCTTGCAAGCATGGCCTAAAATTAACAGACGTGCACAGAGAAAATACTGTGTAGGCACAGCAAGCTCACTGTTCGGAAGAAAAATATAAATACTGGGGTGAGGATTTATTTGAATGTATTTCTGAAGGGAACTGACTTCACAAAAGTTTCGATGGCATTGTTTCCCTTCTCATCACTGCTCATCACATAAGCGCCACCTGTTGTCAGAGAGTGAATTTGTGTTCTCATTCAGCCTGTTTTTGTTTCATGCAGGTTTTTATCTTTGCATTTTAATCCCGATTCAAACAAAGATACAGTGGTTAGTTCTAATTTCAAATGGCTTTTTTAAGCTGTAGTAGTAGCAACTGGCAAGGAAAAATATTTATGGCCGGTAAATTTTCTCAAGTCACCAGCCACAGATGTGAAAGTTAGTTTTCGGCCCTGCTTGAAAGTGTCAAAACAAAAGTATTGCAATTTCCTTACTGTAGAGTAAGGTAAAATAATATACCTGAAAATTGCCCCCGGACACCCCTAGAGGGATCGAGGACCACCCACCTAGACTTGTGCCGGTATTCGGTAATGTGATATATCCCGGTAATGAATATGCACGATATTGTTATCGTGGGCACTTCTAAATACGTGAATAATTATATATTACAAATTATTCCGAATTTTGAATGCATTTTAAGAATACTTTTCTCATCAACTGGTCAGAATTTTTAATGCATTTTAAGAATACTTTTCTCATCAACTGGTCAAAATGCACAACACTGCTGTATGCTGCCTGAAAGACACATGCGCACTGATGTAAATAAGCACGGATGAGAAGCACATGGCGGAACATGTGAGATGCTCTGGATGAAAGCGCATTTTCACTCTCTGACAACAGATGGCACTAAACTGCAGAAATAATTCATTTAAATGCAGCCGTTACCCCGGAAACCCTGTAAATAAAGCAGCTGCGCTACTTTCTGTTTCTGAATCTTGTTTAAATGATTTAAACGGCCATTCAGATTTGTGTATTTGCTATGATGTTCATCACAGCGCCAAATACTTAAATATTTAGACTTAATAGGCTATTTATTTTTAATCATCTTTTACATTTTAATCTGGGCTACAACATGCCCTAGATATTGTTTGAAAGTGTTTTGATTCTTTATTGTTCGGTCACACTTTACATTAGGGCTTCATTAGTTAACATAAACTGCCAATGAAAAAATCTTCTGAACATTCATTAATCTTAGGTAATTATAATATTTAATAAATCATAAAAATAAAATAAAATTGCAACTGTGTTATTAATGAGCTAACATGAACTAAGACTTGTATTTTTTAAACAAAGATTAATAACTTCTGTAGCATATGTAGCTATTGCTCATTGTGAATGTTAATGAATTAAGGTTAACTAATGAGGTCTTATTATAAAGTGATACCTATTGGTCTTTATAGTTCTTTTGCACTTTAATCTGTGTAAAACTTTTAACTTTATGCATTTTTCTGTATTGCTTTATTGCATTTAAATGTTCAGTTATTTTTGTTATAAGAAAAAAAGTTATTAAACCTGTTATACTGTATGACAGCACTTTTTTATTTTTTTTATTTTATTTTTTACTAAATTTCAATACTGTGATAATACCGTATACTGTGACAAAAGCATTTGCAATTAATCGCAACATGAAAATTTGATACCGGCATATCCCTACACCCACCACAGTCTCCCAAAATCCTGTGGGAAAACACTGTAGCGTTCCATACTATGGAAGTCAGTGGCTACTATCAACTGTCTGGTTACTAAAATTCTTCAAAATATCAACTTGAGAGCGAGTAGATAATGACAGAATTTTAAATTGAGTGAACTATCCCTGTGCTTTTCCTCCAAAATAAAAGCTTAATTTAAAGGCACAATATGTAAGATTTTTTTTATTAAAATATCCAAAAATCACTAGAACAGCGTTATATATTTTGCTGACTTGTGTACTTACACTATCCCAAATGTTTAGAAGAATGTTTAAATCCAGAGAAATAAGCTATTTTAACTAGTGACACGGACCGTTTCTATAGTGTCAATGTGTCGCCTGCCAATGACGTCATAACCCCTCGATTTTGTTTTGTAGAAAACATGGAAACCCCAAAGACGCTTTAATATGTTGTGTTTTATTAGACCGGTGATGACCGCACAAAGTAGCATAATAACAGAACTTTCAAATGTATCTAGTATGATAAAACGACGCTGCTTTTTTCCCCACATACGCACGACTGGAAGGAGCGGAAGCGGTCGACTGTGGCATAATAAAAGCTCCGCTGTTTTCAAGCCGTGTGTCACGCTCGTTCAGCGGCCTCGTTTCGCTTCGACGGCTTTCAGCCTCACCCTGCTTCATTCTGCTATGTTAATAAATCATTAGCTCATCCATGAACATGATTTCTGCCAGAGTCCAGTCGGATTGCGTCGGCTGTGGGGATGAAGACCACAACTCCCATGATTCCACACTCAATCACAGCGTCATCAAAATACGCCTTTGTCCATTTGTTTATTTTGAATACACGCCCTCTAGCGGCGAAAATTACATATTGTGCCTTTAAAGTTTGAAAATGGTGATTTTGAGACGGCCATAGATATTAGTATTATAATTTTACAGTACTGTATTTTTTTTTCTTTGTGAAATTACAATATTACAACAATTATGTAGTAGTAGTTATAATAATAATTATTTTATCATATTGATATAAACATAATTTGTCCAAATTGTGCAATCCTAAATAAACAAGCACAGCAAACATTAGCCTTTTTTTGTTGCTAATGCTTTTTAAATTAAAATAATTTTTTTTTTGTTTTTGTTTTTTTTTAGAAAAATCACAACTAGATACTTTTCCCCAAATCGTACTGCCTTAGCATACCCAAATCTGTATTGGTCAATATTTAATATTCTCTGTCAACCAATGCAGATTCTTCCGATTTTTAGAGTTAGATTGTCTTTGACATCATCTAACACTGACTTGAAGTTCATCTTAAAAACATAAATAATTTTACAGTTGGTAAGTGTGATCTTAATCAAAATAAATATAGATTTTTCATAAATTTTCTATCTTTTTCAAATTTGCTTTTAAAATTTAACATGACATTTTATTTTCATTTAGAAAAATATGAAGTTTTAATAATGACTATTTGTTGATTATGAGCTATAGCGTTATCCTATTCCTGATTGCAAAACAGAAACTAGGGATGTGCGGGTCTAGTTGACTAAACGGTACAGCTCCTACTAGTCGACACTGAAAACAATAGTCGATTACATGACAGAAAAAAAAAGAAAAACAAAAACAGGATTTTATCATTCACATTACCATCATTTTAACATTGCATTTAAAACATTTTAAATAAGTTAAAATAAAACATTTGAAAAATACATTATTTTTAAAAGTTTATCTGGGGGGAAACTACATTTTTGTCTCAGACCTCACATGAGTTTTCTTCGTGCCATGCTGCGGCGAGTTCAAAAATGACCAAGTGAAAGACGAGAAGGTGTGGGATTATTTTGAATTAGAAGGAAACTGAAAAGTTTTGAGTAAACTGTAATGTCAAATCGTTTTACAATACCTCTACTGGAGCGATGCATAATCATATTCAATACAGGCACGTAGGCGTTAGCTTAGAGGCTGGCCAAAGGCAGCTAATGTCAATCACATCATTCACTACAACCCGCAGCCACTGCTATCCCGTCCGCGCCGTCTATTCCTCTAACAAAAACCCACTTCGGTGGTGGTGCGGGATGTCCAGGCGCTTTCTGAAACTCTTATCTGCTTGCTTTTCGTTATCTCTGCATGCCTGCGACTTCAGTTCCTGCCGAGCGCGTTTTTTCAAGTGCAGGAATTTTATTGTTAATCACCTCAGGTCCTGTCTTTCACCAGACCAGGTTGATAATTTCACTGAACAAATAACGCATGGTCTGAGTAAATAAAATGGGCATTGTTGCATTGTTTTGTTTTTAGACGATATAGCCTACACGAAGTATGTTTTTAAAAGCCGATTTAATGCTATTTCTTGATAAACGTTCCTATTGTTTTTAACTTGTGTTTTAATATGTTGGCTAACGTTATATGAAGATTAGAGGTCGACCGATAGTGGATTTTGCCGATACCAATAGCTTGGTTTACCGATTAATTAACCGATAGTTTTAAAATTGATACGGAACAAAAACTAAAATAGTGCTTTATTAACAAAAACAGTACTGAACCATACTAGTAGTAGTAAAAAAAAAATTACTAAAAGCTTAAAGTAGTAAAAAAAATAGTAATAGGAAATGTTTAAATTAACACACTCTAACAAGGAACAATACTTACACAGCTTTCATTAATCTTAATGCTACAAATGGACTCTTATTTTAAAGTGTTACCATTTCATTTCAACTGTCATACTTAAAGATGCACATCTTTAAATATATACACAAAGGCTATAGCATTAAAATTATATACAAATGGATATTGTATGTATACTCACACTTTTAACTGCTTCTATTCTTGAACACTTGATGATTATCTAATCAAAATAAAAGTGCAGCACTGAGTCTAGGAGAATCTCACACACTCCGGACGCGTCGCGTTCAACTCGAGCAGCGGTCTAAAACAGTTTATTTAATCACCAAACAGACACAAGTTTACTTCAAGAATGAACAATTTGGCATGGATGAGTTTGAAGTTCGGTGTTTAAAAAAACGGAGCAAACGAAAAGAGAAAGCGCGACCTATATTATAGCTCTCTAAATGAAGCACACAGACTTTATTAGAGCCACAGAAAGACAAAAGTTTTGCTGAAAATGCACGATACACAATTCATTGTACATTAACAATGATTCGGGACCAATATAATGTAATTTAAAGGAAAACTATGTGAATGGCGCTCTGTGGCGCGGCAGGATTTTCTGTCTGCTGCAGCGTCTGAAGTTTCCCGCACTGTTCAGCGTGCAGTATCAAGTGTCTAAACAAATAGCACGTGCTGTCAGTGATTTCAATCACTAGATGCTGCTCTAGCACTGTGTAATGACAGCAGACCCTTCTCAGCCGCTCCAGCAGTGGACACAACCCGGAAAACTATCAGCATGGATTTTTGTCGATAACCGATAGTTCCAGCAATCGACTATTGGTGCCGATTAATCGGCAAAACCGATACATCGGTCGACCTCTAATGAAGATTAAGAATTCTGTCAGGCTATTGATTGATTTTCCATTGTTCTGCATTTCCCCAGCTGATTTGAAAAAATAAGCTATGCTTTGACCGATGTTGAGTGTATGCTCTTCTTTTATTTGGGCGATTCCACAGTTTAGGCCTAATTGCAAGGACAATAGCCTGCAAAATCAATCTTCATGGAGAAAGCCATTGTCCTCAGGTTAACATCATGAGAAAACCTGGGGTACAGCTGTGTAAAAGGCAGGATAAATCTGGCAATGGTAAACTAGTAAACTTTGATCAAAGTTGAGTTGATGTCAAATTTAACGTATGTAACATGGACGGAAAAACTGTAAATTCAAGCAGAAAGTGTACTTAATCTAATTCAGTTTAATAAAATTCTGGTTGAATCCCAGTTCATGTTTAGCTTTGTTCCTAATTTGGTATAGTTCTGAGTCATACGTTGTGTGTGGTTCACAAAACTGGTAATAGGACTTCCATGCAGGCAGGGTGGCCATCTAATATTATCTGTTCTATAAACTTAAAGGTGCATTTTTGATTCTGGTATGTTCATAAACTGAAAGCCAGCAAAATTACTAACAAAAACCACAGGTGTATTTTTCAAATTTATTTGCCAAAGTGGACCATTCTCATTCCTTGGTAGGTTTCTCTCTCCTCCAGGACGCTCCATGGAGCGAAGCCTCAACTTGAGACCTGCCATAATTTCTGAAAAAAGTAAATAAAATAAAATAAAGGCCACACATATACATATATATATATATATATATATAAGGATATAATGTATGTTTGCAAAGGATATGTGTAAGAGTTATGACTAATTATTTTTTAACACTTGAAATTTATAATTATGTGTTTAATTATATGCTCTGAACACCACAGCAAACTTAATTTACAGAATAGCCGTTTCATTTCTTGAATACACTTCTTAAAATTAAGAATCTGAAATATGAATGATGACTGTTAGTCTCCATGTTCATGTCAATTACAAGATAAGGATATTATCTTCTCTATGAAAGGCTGCAATTTACATAGCCTGATTTACAGAATATGATGCTGCATGAATGGTGGCCTACATAGTATTTGATAGTTTTTTGATTTCATATTAGGCCTGCCGGTGTGTTCCTTTTAAAATAATGAATATAGGCTACTTCAGACATTTATTAGGCATGATGTGCTAAATATGATTTGGAGAAATAATACACAAGACTATAGGCTATTGCTGAGCTGTTGCTGTTGGCTGCACTTGCACTCAGGAAATAGTTTGACTCTTGACTGGTCAATTAAGTGAGGTAACGCTGAATCGCATGATAGGCTAGTCGACCAATACAGGCAAGGAAATGAGCACAAATTCACGGTACGCTCTAGCTGCCATCAAACGGAGCTCCGGTGGAATTGAAAGTAAACTCGTGGATTGCCTGTGGCCTACATAATTTGGACATGATGAAGGTACACTTGACAGGCTGTGGAGCTTCATTTTACCACAAAGCTAATGTTTAAACTAGCTTTATTGTGTGCCGTCAGTGCGGAAAATTCCTTAAAATTATAGCCCAGTTCACTGTTGTTTAAAAACCTTTGCGTTTAACGCCGACAGTTTATTCTAATGGCATAAGTGAGATTGTGTTAACGCACTATTAACGTGTTAACTTCGACAGCCTAAGCTATATTCTTACGAACATTGGACAGAAAAACAAAATCATCATTTAAAAAAAAACGGAAAAAAGTCAGCAAAATCATTGCCGATGTTGACTTTCATGAACAGCTTATTGAGTCAAAAATATTCAGAAAGCAACGTTCGAAGTTGGACAGACTGAAAATTTCCGTCTAATTTACGAACAAGATGTGCAGAATCTGTCAAAATGTATACAACCACCATGCATGCATGCTCTTTCACGATGAACACGACGCCGCTTTCGGTCCGAAACCACTAGCAATCATCCGACTTGCACACTCTTTTATCCTTTCTCACCACAATGATCCTATTTAATGTTTACTTAACCAAAGTTTACCACGTTCATATCATTTTAATGTTCGTAAACTTTTGGACAGAAGCCACAAACTTACCTACATTTGTCGAAATCCTGTTAACTCTTCCTTCCATGCAGAGCATGCGTGACCTAGACAATCTTATATCTGACATGAGAACCGTTGAGACATTAGGAGATGGAAATTCAGCGTCAGAATAAAATGTACGAGCGTTATGATTTTTGGACAGAAAATCTCTGCCCCTGTTTTATCCCGATTTATTAACAATTTATCATGTAGCAACGCATATGAGAATTTAACCCACACAAGATGTTTTTATCGTTTTGCTACTGATAGAATTACATGGGAAAATTATATCTCTGTTTCCTTTAGAATCATAGTTTAACGTTCGTAACTGCTTGGACAGAAGGTGTAACGAACGTTAGTAAATGTTTCCATTGCATCGTGGTGGATTAAGGGAATTATACTTTCAGTGTTAGTAGTAGTATTTTGTAGAAGACACACCAAAATAAATGTTATGCGCCAAAATTCAGGATTTTATTAAAGGAAATGAAAGAAGTGACTTAGGAAAAATCCAGATGCACTGAATGTCCCACCCTGACATCCGCAATTTCTGGGGACGGAAATAAAATAAAGTCTCATTACACGATAATGCCAAGGCTTAGTGGGATAAAATTAACTTTATTATTTCTTACATCTATCTTAAACAAAATGGTGAACTAAAAATAAAGCGTAATTCATTGAGGGATTTGACAGTGTGATTCATAGATTATTTCAAATATAGGCTATTATATATGCTACACGCACACACACAGATTTTTTTCCCTACCATCTTTTGGGGGTTTCTTGCTTTTAGACTAGTCGGATACAAAACTTTCGCTTAAACGACAGTCAAATTAGTCGTCGCGCACATCCCTAATAGAAACATTGTATTGCATTAGAAAAATAAAAATCATTATAAATGCTGTATGTTCACTACTTAAGCTCTAGTAGTACTACTGTATAATTACTTAATAATAAGTAGCAGTTTTTGTTCTTCACTGGTGATTTACCAGACAAAAGTAACAGATTGAATTTGAGGTCTCCTAATAAGTTTTGTATTGAATTTGTCTTGCAGGGAAAACCACGATCAAGAGAAACCTCCGTTAAACAGTCTAACAGACAACACAGTCGCCATGGAGGTGACGTAGCCCCGCCCCCTCAAGCATTCACACACCTCTCAATCGAGGCGTCTCCTTTAGGTACTATGCATCATAGTGACGCTGTTTCCGTGGCAGCCGTTGGGACTTAATTGCAATGCTCATCTTTTTGGTTTTTGTCTTTTTCCAAAATGTTGTTACTGTTAGATATCAACATCTGTAAATTATGAAATATGGAATATATTCTATGTACATACATATTTGTAATACACCCCCTTGTATATAACATTACTTGAATACAGAAATTGTTCATTTGTGATGTTTTGCACTTGGGAAAAAAATCTGAAAATAACTGCGATTTTTCGTAGTGTTTGTGCGTGTGTGTCAGAGATTGTGAATGTTCAAGTGTCTGTGAGACTGTATCTGAATGTATGTCACATGCATGGTGCAAAACCTGCTGTTTTATCTATTTATTGTGAGGTGTTTACAGGTTTTTTTTTTCTTTTCTCTCCCTTTAAATTCAAAAACAAAATTAGTTTTAATACACTGTATTTGGGGGGTTTTTCCCCCCCCCCCCCCCCCTAAATTCTTAATTTTTTAATACACTGTAACTTCCTGGGTTTCTGTGCAGTGTGTGTGAGCGCGTGTGTGTGAACGTGTGTGTATGTCGCTAAAGCAGTTGTATGTGAACATCTCTTGTTGGAAAAAAGCAGCAGGGGTTCATCTCTCTCTCTCTCTCTCTCTCTCTCTCTCACTCGGTCTCTCATGTGGCTGCTCCCACTCCACTCAAGCACTATTTTTATTTTTAATTTTTTTTCAATGCTGCTTTTTGTATGATTCTTTGTACAAGTCTTTTTTTTTCTGGAATCTGAGAGGCCCTTTTTCATTTGGGGTTTGTGAAACTTAAATGGGTTTATTTGTATTACCTCTGTTTTGATGACTGATTGTATGTCCCCTGTGTTATGGAGCGAGTCTGTTATTTGTGCGTAACAGTAGTTCATACGGGAGAGGACTACAGTGACATCTCAGTATGTTTCTTTATTATCATCATCATCATTCCACTTTATATGAAAACAAGGAAAACGAACAAAAAAGGAATGTTTTGTTTCCTGTAAGACTTCATGGTGGCACCCGTCCTGTGGGGCCAGCATGAGCTCTCTTCTGTGAAGAGGATGGTACCTCACAAGGCTACTCGTAGTTGTTTGTATGTACCACAATCTGAATGCCCGTTCCAATGGCATCATTTATCTTTGAGGTGTTTTTTTTTAGCCCCACCTGGATGAATGAATAATAAAAAAAAAAAACTTATGACAAAAAATGTTTAATAAACCCAGGGCATTAAGTGTTTGACCAGCACAACTCTTTTCGGTGTCATTTCTCAAATGCAACTTTTGCAATTGAAAAAATGCATGTTGCAACTCATGCAACATGAACAAATGCAGCTTTTTCTCTTTTGTCTCTACGTCACCCCTGCAGTTTCATGCAGAAATTGAACTCAAGAAGCTATGGACCAAAGTGCTTCTTGTCGAGTCTTTATGAATTAAATTTGCTTTTGCTTTTTTTTTCAGTATTTTTAGTGGGTTGGATCTACAGTCAATGGGTTTTATTTCTTTTCTCAGGTGAAATGTTATTAAAGTAAACTTATCCAGATTTTAGAATGCATGTTGGTGAATTCAGTGATCCATGAATGAATTGTTCATTGTGAACCTGATCACCTGATTATTGAAAAGAGCAGACAAGCACACAAACTGATCATTCATAAATCAAACATTTTTTTTCTTGACATCTGCCTTAGCTCTGGTTGGTATGAAATTAACTTTCATTTTGGTTTGTTGCTTGAGCTATGCTGTCGTATGGCTTCAGAAGATTTAAATAATGGCAGTCATATGGACACTTTTATACTTTTGCCATTTTGGAGCTTGATAGCCCCTGCCCTCTTTCCATTTATATCCAAAAGAGTGGCCAGGACATTATTTAAAAAATCATTATTTGTGACCTTGGAGCACAAAACCAGTCTTAAGTCGCTGGGGTATATTTGTAGCAATAGCCAAAAATACATTGCATGGGTCAAAATTATAGGTTTTTCTTTTATACCAAAAATCATTAGGATATTAAGTAAAGATCATGTTCCATGAAGATATTTTTTGTAAATTTCCTAACGTAAATATATCAAAACTTAATTTCTGATTAGTAATGTGCATTGCTAAGAACTTCATTTGGACAACTTTAAAGGCGATTTTCTCAATATTTTGATTTTTTTTTTTTGCACCCTCAGATTCCAGATTTTCAAATAGTTGCATCTCGACCAAATATTGTCCCATCCTAACAAAATTGTCAGTGGAAAGCTTATTTATTCAGCTTTCAGATGTATAAATCTAAATTTTGAAAAAATTGACACTTAAGACTGGTTTTGTGGTCCAAGGTCACATTTGTGATTCACAGCAGAAAGAATCATGTAGGTTTGGAACAACAAAGTCAGTTTTCATTTTTGGGTAAGCTGTTCCTTGAAGTAATGCAAATCAATAAACATCTACAGAGATTTTGCTTTCATGTTTTATTTATTTTTTACAATATTGCAAAATGAAATCAGTGATAACATGCTACTAAATTACTGACACTATATTTTGAATGTATATCCAGAGGAGAACTGAAGCCTGGTTTCTCCCAAGGCTTTTCGTCTCCATTATCAACTGTCAAATGAATCCTCTGCATCACAAAATAATAACCCCAATTTAAAATTACAAGTATATCCATTTTTTTTCTGCATACAAACCGTACACTCACATAGTCACAATATATACAATTTAGCAAATCTCAACTTCTTGATTGATTGTATCATCAAATGTTGCCCAAAAATCACCCAGCTCTAAACTACCCGAAAAATTAAGCATCAACATCATGAAAGCTGATTTGAAACAATATGTATTGTGAAAAGAGTTATATAAATAAATTGACTTGACAACTATTACAAAACACCTAGCTGCATTTTATATACATTTGGGTTATGTCGTCATGTCCATCCACAGCTCTAAGTGAAGGTGCTGCTTTTGTAGCTTTTTCCACGTTATCACGCCGTACCATTAGTTTTAAAACAAGGACCTTAAAAATGGAGAGACGAGATAAAACGTGCATAAATATATGTGATCATACACTCTTATAATATAACATAAAATGTTCACGTGGAAATCTTGTATAAATCATAAAAAGTCAATCTTTTGTGTTTCTGGCTGGTATCATTTTACAGTTCTCATTATCTATGCATTCATTTGTTAACCTTAGTTTTTACTTACTTCCGCAAAGTCTCCACAGAAAAGCCCTGAGAACTCAAATGAATCATCACCTTCTGGTTGCAGCCAAGTTCACGGTCCTTATAATGTGTACATTTTTGAGACTGTTTATGGCAAACCAACCTTCATAACCAGAAAGCACAAAGCATAGCATCACTGCAGAGTCATTAACAAACCTGACATCTGCTTTTAATAGAAAACAATCGCTGAAAATAATCACAATGATTTGTGGGAGAAACAGACCTAAATTTAAGTAGCTATTCACAGAGCTATAAGAGAATGCTCCTCAGCTGGGTTTGTTCCTCACAAAATGATATGTAACTTCGGAAGACTATGCAGCACAAGTCACATCATGGTGTTTTTGTTTTAAAGCTTAAAAGCTCTAGTCTCTATTAAACTGCATAGAAAAGATATACAAGTACATTTACTGATGCAAAAAGTATGATGATATACCAATACAAACCCGTCAACTTTCATAATACAGGCTGGTCTTGTGCGTGACCTCTGTAAGATCTTGATTCCCTCCTCCAGTAAAAAGTAAGCATCTACCCTAGTTAAAGATAAAATTATATAGATTTTAGGAACTGAAACACTTAATACTTTGCTTCTCACACATTCATTTGAACAATCCCATAATTGAAATGGATCTGTTAGCAAGAACATATCTTCTGAGATATGTTAAATATCCTCTATGTTCCACAGTTTGTTTGTTTATTTCTTTCTTAATGCCAATCCAGCATCTCTGGCTATATTCATGGCGAGAACCAGTTAATCCATACACTAGTCTTGTCTTTACACACACATCCGGGGACAATTTCGAATGTTCAATTCACCTAACCTGCATGTCTTTGGGCTGTGGGAAGAAACTGGAGCACCCGGCATAAACCCACGCGGACACAGGGAGAACATGCAAACTCCACACAGAAAGGCCTCCTGTCCTTGCAGGGGCTCAAAGCGGGGACCTTTTCGCTGTGAGACAACAGTGCTAACCACCAAGCCACTGTGCTGCCCCCTGTGCTCCACAGAATAAAGTCAACCGGTTTGGAGCGACGTGAGGTTGAGTAAATTATAACAGAATTTTCCTTTTTGGGTGGACCATCCTTTAAAATATGACCTACACATTAGTTCATAATTTATACAGACACAGGACAGAAGGTGATTTCAAATCCTATTCCTACTTGAGTTCTGTTAGACTGGGGCAGTTCTGGATGATCTGAAGGGTCCAAACACACCATCTCTTGGTCAGGCAGTCTACTCTTACTTCCATCTTTTTCAGTTTAGAGAAAGAACAGGGAATAAGCATTAATGCATCTAAATTATTGTGGTGAATTATCTGAAAAAGTTTGGTCCAGTTGATGTTGTTGAGCTCTGAGCGTGGGAAGGTGAGATCAAGTGATTGCAAAGATCCTGCAGGATCAACACGCCATGGAGGTTGTATGCAGATTCTATTCAAAAGAAGAAGAATTGGTATCAATTAAAGACACACATGTACTGTAATGTAAAACACATGTAATAATCTGAAGGTATTAAATTGACTGTGGACAACAAACGTGCCAGATAAATGTGAGAGATTTGCCAGACAAAGGCTTGTACAGAAAAAACAATTATGCTATCATGATTACTGGAGGTGTTTATATGATTGGTTATCCAAAATATGTGTCATGTATTTTTTTCCAGTTATCATGAGAAAGAGGCCATTTGATGAACAGAAAGTTTTTTTTTTAACTTTTTCTTCACCTGGATAGCTCTTCGCTGGTTGACAGATCAGCTGTACGGACAGAACAAGTCCCAATATTTGACATGACAAGAACACTGCAAAGCACAGATAAAATCTCTATGAACTAAAACCAAAACAAAAGCACACTGAAGGAGAGCGGTGAGGAACTCCTGAAAGCTGAGATGCATGAAACTGAACATCGTCTCTTGGCAGATTCTTCTTTTAAAGAGGAACTTGCAAAGAAATGGATTGGCAACAGGGTCTGAAATTGTTTCATAAACAGTTTTCTCATCCAACAAGACTTGTTGTTCCAGCATCCCTCTCTCTGCCAGCTGACCCAGACTCCTCAGCAGGTTCGGCACAGACTGACTCAAACCCTGGCAGTGATGCTTCAGTAGAGTGGACACAAAGTCAACATAAATGGAGGTGGTGGTTTCCAATACGCTTGTCACATCTGCACCAACTCTGAAACGTTCCTTGATAGTTGTGCAGATGATCCAGCAGATCACAGGGATGGAGCAGGTGGTGAAGAGGTTTTCATTTGTCTTCACAAATGTATAAGCCCTCTTGAAAAGTTCCTCATCCTGAAAGAACTTCTGGAAGTACTCCTCCACCCCCTTCTCAGAGAAACCCATAATCTCAGTGAAACGCTGAGGTCCTTTGAGCAGCTTGCTCAGTGTGTCTGTAGCTGTAGATCTGGTGGCGACCAGCAGGAAGGACTCTGGCAAGATGTGACCCCTCAACAGGGCACAAAGAGTGACCTCAGCTGGAGCTTTCTGAATCCCATCAGTGTGAGGTGACATGTCATAAATGTCTTGTGTGAGTCTCAGCTCATCAAATCCATCAATGATAAAAAGCATCTTCTCTGGTGACTGCTGCAGTATCTGTGAGATCTCATCTGATGTTAAACTGCAGCTGTAGCTCAAGACCTCCACCAAACTCATTATGCCAGGAATGCGGTTTATTTCTTTACACTTTAAGTGGAACACAATAGCAAACCGCTCTTTGTAGAGTTTATCAGATGCCCAGTCCATCATGATCTTCTGCACACTTAAGGTCTTCCCATTCCCTGAATTTCCCTGCAGTATAACAGAACTAGGACTGATCCCATGGCCATCTGGGTTGAACAGAGAGTTCAGATGGGAAGATTCATCACCACTCCTGGAGCTGAGGACCTGCTGGAAGTCCTCTCCACTGGAGCGGAGCTCTTCTTCTCTCTCTTTTTGATCTCTATGTCTCTGAAGAATCAGAGGTTGTGTGTAGCGCTCAGACAGCAGCACTCGTTCACCAGGCAGAGAGTTATACTCAGTCACATACTGATACTCTGTGCAGATCCGTGTCTTATGTTTGAAAATCAATGATCTTGTTGCTTCAGAAATAAAACAACCAATATTCAGAGGGTTAGTGCCTTTTAGAACAAATTCTGATTCCGCTACATTGTTGCTTATAAATTAATAGGTAGAAGGAAAAATATTCAACACATATCAGACTTATCTATTACCTGACGTTTGTGTTGTTTCAGAGTGTGGGCGATCAAAAGTGAAACCTGCAGAAAATTAGAAATTACTCAATATCAATTAATTATAAATTATAGATTGTTAACAGCTAGATTTAGAACATATATAGCATTAATATAACTTTATTAGTACATATTTGATACATATATCTTTTACTAATCCAACAATGCACATATTTTATCATATGACTTGATACATTTAAAAAAATAAAATAAAATCAGCAGAAATACTATAGAAAAGAACTCTGTTTGAAAACCTGCAATTGCAGCTGTGTGCGGAATTATCTAGCTTGAGTGGGGTTGTGCTCCAGCGCGGATGAATCTAATGTTTTGAGGTGAATGTGTGGCTGTCAGTCACCGCACCAGTGTGGTTATTTACTGTACTTCGCAATCACAGATTCTAGCCTACGTCTTGGAATATATGACCCAAATAAGAATTTTCACCAGATAGTGTCATCTGAACAAGTAAGTAACAAGTCTGCCACGTTTGTTCTGACCAACTGAGGAAAAAAGCATTACAATAAATCGCGCTACCAATGGTGATTAATTGTAACAATTGGTTAGCTCATATCACATCAAACTAGGGCTGCACGATAAATCGAAATGGAATCGAGATTGCGATTCGACAGAAGCTGCGATTGTCATGCGTATCTTTCAGTGAAGCACGGTTCTGTGATCAACAGTAAATCTCCATCCAAAAGCCAGAGGTCACTCTCGTGCTGAAACTCCAAATACGCCTCGCAGAAGAAACCCAGAAAATGCCTATCGCTGCAGCTGAATAAACAGAAGATTCAACTGCTTTCATTGATTCAACGTGACTAATAATCACACGACTACTGCAATATACGGTTTATCTGAGTTCTTATTATTATAATTTTCATTAAAATAAAGTATATTTATAATGCACTGCCTTTATCACTACTTAAATACTATGAAATATGTTGCGTGCCTTATTCTGTGTAAGAAGCCACATCACCTCACAGAAGGATTTATTTCAAACACTTGGCTGACGTTATGAAGTGAGTTTGGAGTAAAAATATGTTATTAAATGTGGTACTTTCACATAACTATGGCTATGTGTAGTAAATTCTGCTCCATCTGAAAGCACGTGATGATGATTTCCTGCTGATTACAGAACCAGCTTTTTTAACAAAATGCGCATGATAATCGCATTCAATTAATCGTGCAGCCCTACATCAAACTGTGCAAATTATTATTATTGTTAAACTTTATTGTCAAATTCTTAATGTTAACAACATCAGCATTGCGTGACTATGTGTATAGTGTGTATTAGGCAGCATGTGATCTCAGTTTCTGTATAGTCTAAACCAGGGTTCCTCAAATCTTGCCCTGGAGGGCCAATGCGCTGCAGAGTTTAGCTCCAACCCTAATCAAACTTACTTACCTGTGATTTTCTAATGATCCTGAAGACATTGATTAGCATGCTCAGGTGTGTTTAATTAGGGTTGGAGCTAAACTCTGCAGGACACCGGCCCTCCAGGACCGAGTTTGGACAGCCCTGCTATAAACGATCGGCCCACCTGCATGACCCTCACATGCAATAGCCTAGTAGCTGGGACAACTTCTTTATGTTTACAGAAGTGACGTAATGACGCAGTGCCATGTTCGAATTTCCCGCGAAAACCTACCCGTACCACTCAAATTACAAAACATTATTATAAGCTTACCGTTGTGAATCGGGCTAAAGTAAGGCGATAGTTTTGAACACTGGCTGGTCATGTACTTGCTTAAATATTGATTTTGGATCATTTTTAACCAAAAAAAAGTTACGGACTGCAGCTTTAAGAAATGATCACAAACATTATCCGACATATTTTCAGCATCTATGAAGTACAACATTTTTTTACTTACCATGTGCATTATGTAGGAAGTGGACATCGCCTGTTATTGTATTGTTGGTGAGTACAGGAGCTATAATGTGACTTCCACTCTGAGCTGCAGCGCTGACACTTGGCCCAGCGCGAGATCTGATACGGCCTACATGACAAGGGAAACATTTTGGCCTGAAATATCAGCGAAATAAGCACTTATTCAGTACAGTAATACAAGCTTTGTATAGAGCTAAGGATCAGAGAAAGATTTGACACAAGCTTGAACTTAAAAGTACTTTTATTTTACAAACTAAAAGTCAATAAACTTAAAGATTACGTTCTTTAGTCTTGAGTGACGAAATCATGTCACGAGAGAAAATGCTTAGTTTTACATACTGTAGAAAGTGCCCATTTCAGTTCCTTTTCTGCAAGAATAGAAACATACATTGTGTTAGTCGTTCCACTGCAGAATAAGTTTGAGCTAGCATAGGTTTGGCAACGCTACCTTATTTTCACCGGGAAGAAAGCAAGAATGGCGCTGTTGAAGTAGACGACAAACGGGTCATGCAGGTTTGAAAGCAGTGTTGCCAACTCACAAGATAATAAGCAACCGCAGCCTCAAAAACAAGCCCAATATTATTATATTATTTATTATCATCAATATTATTTATTATCAATTGTTTATTTCTATTATTGTTTGTTCTCTGCACGTCTGTTGGTGCCCTTGTTTGTCTATCAGCTGAGCTCCTCGATCTGCTTGGTGTGACGAGTGCAGCGGTCAGAGGATTTACTGCATCTGAACCTTCACACAGACACAGAACAGCAGCACACATTCAATACAGCATAAACACACTTATTTTAAAAGACATGGATAATAGATTTCATTAAAAGATTATCTGAAAGAATCTGTCATATTTGGTCAAGTCACAAAAGCTGCTGATGCCTTACATGTGTGAAATCACAGCACAGAAAGGTAAATGTGAAAGATCATCAGAGAATATGCATATTTTCATATAAAAATACATATTTCACATTCATCAAGCACTCATCTACAGCTGTCCATACCACTAGTAGATCATTTAGAACTAACATAACATATGACTTCAAATAAACATATATGCAAAGATAATTTATTTTACAAACTAGGGCTGTGCGATATTGAAGAAACTTGATGTCTTCTGTACATTTGTCTCCACAGAACTCAATGGTCACTCTCTGGTTGCAGCTGAGCTCCTCGATCTGCTTGGTGTGACGAGTGCAGCGGTCAGAGGATTTACTGCATCTGAACCTTCACACAGACACAGAACAGCAGCACACATTCAATACAGCATAAGCACACACTTATTTTAAAAGACATGGATAATAGATTTCATTAAAAGATTATTTGAAAGAATCTGTCATATTTGGTCAAGTCACAAAAGCTGCTGATGCCTTACATGTGTGAAATCACAGCACAGAAAGGTAAATGTGAAAGATCATCAGAGAATATGCATATTTTCATATAAAAAATACATATTTCACATTCATCAAGCACTCATCTACAGCTGTCCATACCACTAGTAGATTATTTAGAACTAACATAACATATGACTTCAAATAAACATATGCAAAGATAATTTATTTTACAAACTAGGGCTGTGCGATATTGAAGAAAAATGCGATAACTCATTAAATAATGTGATATTCGATATGCGATACGATAATGCTTACAGTGCCACATGCTCAGGTGAAACAGTTTTACTCAGCTGTTGCTGAGTCAGTTCTGTGAACTTCTGTAACTATCTTGTGTCATATATATATGGTTATTTGTATGTATGTATGTATCAAGAGTTCCTGTAAAACCACAACAAATTCCTTGTGTTTGCGCACATTTAAGTGGTGAAAAAAGCTCATTCTGATTCGGATTCTAATAAGAAAGCACCCCATCAACAACTTCTGAAAGTGAACGGTATGTGTTTTACTCGAGCATTACATAAAAATGTCATTTTAACATTAGTGTAATCATTTTAACATGAATTTAGGAACTGAATAATAAAAAGGAAAAATAAAACACTGCAGAGTATTTACTCTTTGAATTCAATATGCACTGAATCTTATTTAAGCTACAACAGTTATTTAGGTTATTTAGGCCCCAAATATTTAAATTTAGGAACTGAATAATAAAAAGGAAAAATAAAACACTGCAGAGTATTTACTCTTTGAATTCAATATGTACTGAATCTTATTTAAGCTACAACAGTTATTTAGGTTATTTAGGCCCCAAATATTTAAAGCTGTAGCGATATGTACATTTGCGATATTTCAATAATTTCGATATATTGCACAGCCCTATTACAAACCCTCTAATGTTCATAATGCACTCGGGACGTTTTGCGGATTCCTGCAATAACTTGATTCCCTCCTCCATTAAAAGACCAGGGAGCCACTCAGCACCATCGGAGCCCTTTGAACCAGCATCAAAACTACAAAACAGAGATGTTACTGTGAGATAAGGCTGACATGTTTGATTCTACACCAAACCAGCTGAGAAAATTTCACAATTTGAGTTGAATTACTGAAATAAATGAACTTTTTCATGACATTCTAATTTATTGAGATGCACCTGTACAGTCACAACATGTGAAAAAAATTAGAAAATTTAATTTGTTAAATTTGTGAAAAGCATGGCAGGGGACAATTGCTTATTCTATTGCCCTTCTTTATTTTATGTTTACTTATGATACAAAGAATTACTTAGACTTACATTTACTGTATAATGACCCATTTATAAAGTACACTAATGCACTAATGCACTAATACACACAACCCAAACGGACAAACACAGAGCTAATTACTCTTACCTGATCACAGCCAGTCTAGGACAAGACTCTACGAGGAAGAGGATTCTGGAAGCCCAAGTCTCCGTCAGGACGGGAACGGAAAGATTTATCGCACTCAAACCAGACACAGATGGCAGCTGAGACAGCAGAGCATCGACCTGCCTGTTAAAATCTGCACTCCTACAGCCAGAGAGAAAGAGTTACAGATAGAGTAATCTCTATCCACAAAGAGCATGACAGGAAGGTGAAGGTGGTTTTGAAAACATACTCTTCTGTTATACAGTTTACACTGTGGAAGGCCTGCAAGAAGCTCTTGACATTAATACTGGATGCCTTTGAATGTGGACATTTGAGAAGGATTTCTGACAGTGACGGTTCATTCTGTAGGTCTGAACACCATTTCACCACATTCAATCTGTCAACAAGAAACACACTTCCTCATATATCTGAATCATTATCAAGTGTACATGTCCAATAAGTCTGAATGCAGGAGTCTTACAAAGAGGTTGCACAACAATGCATAGTGAAACTTGTCAAGTAACTATTCATTAGAGATTCATAAAAATAATAAGAATCATAAAACACAGAGCAGTCCAGTTGTGTGGAAAAAAATCCTTACACAAGCTTTCCTTCAAAGCTGAAGAGCCGCAGAGACGAGCAGAGACTTTCTGCATCATCAGTCCTTAAACTGTCAACCAGAGCATATAATAAACAGTCATTACATTAACATCTAAAATTAAAAGCATGGCGTTTGGGTCTTAGCTGAGTGAAATTTGCTGCTTAAAGTATGCAAATGTAAGAAAATGTTCTTGAGATACCTGATCTCCTCCCATTTGGCTTTGGTCTGCAGGAAGTCTGTGATGACGTGGGCAGTGTCAGCTGAGATGCTCTTCACTGCAATCTGAAGTCCACCCACGTTGTTCTGTTTGTGCAGAGCATTAAGAACCTGCTGCACACTTTCATCTGACAGACAGCTGCTGTTCAGTCTGTAAGAGACTTATATGCTTATCAGTTATATCATGACATTTATCAGCCACAAATATGATCAGCAGCTCTGTGCTGAACAGAAAAGTTACAGATCTTTACCTCAGTTCTCGAAGCCGCTTTCCTTCTCCGAGAGCTGCGAGCAGATCAGCGACATCTGTGTCTGAAAAGTTTTGCACTGTCAACCTAAAAACTAAATATCGTCAGAATCACTTAACTCATTGATTGAGCAACTTTTAAACATTCTTTATTTATTTTTGGAAACAATTAGGGGCCTGTTTCATAAAACAATTTACCAAATAAGCCAGGTTTATTTCGGTTAGTCTGATGTATTATCAGTCGATTTGGTTCAAAATAAGTCAGACTAACTGAAATAAACCTGGCTTATTTGGTAAACTTGTTTTATGAAACAGGTCCCTGATATACTATTGAAGTCTGCATTTCTCATAGTTGTGCATATACATAATTTAAAATTTGTGATTTCCTCTGACAATTTTATGTTTACATTTCATAATTGCCCATTTTTTTCTCATCTTAAAACAGCATCTTAAAATCCAACAATTGTGACTTTATATCTCAAGGATAAAGTTTTTTTTAAAGGGATAATTCACCCAAAAATGAAAATTCTGTCATTAATTACTCACCCTCATGTTGTTCAAAACCCATAAGACATTTGTTCATCTTCGGAACACAAATTAAGATATTTTTGATGAAATCCGAGAGCTTTCTGACTCTCCATAGACAGCAACGCAACTATGTTCAAGACCCAGAAAGGTAGCAAGGACATCATTAAAATAGTCCATGTGATATCTATCAGTGGTTCAACCTTAATTTTATGAAGCTACGAGAATACTTTTTGTGCACAAAGAAAACAAAAATGACTTTATTCAACAATTTCTTATTTTCCGTGTCAGTCTTCAACATGCATACACGACATGAGGGGGAGTAATTAATGACAGAATTTTCATTTTGAATTATCTCTTTAAACTTTCTCACAATTAAGGCTGGAATACACTACACAACATTTGCCTGGATTTTTGCCCCAATTTACAGTCTGGACGAGTTGACGCTAGTTGCTGTAAGTCAGAAACAGTCTGAAGGTTTTGGGTAGTATAAGTACATTGTTATTTCTATATGGCATCAGATATTGATTTCTTCTGTTTCTCATTCAACATGTTCAAATCTAACCTCACTGGTTTATAATGTCAACCAACATATTAGAGACCATACACTAAAAATAACTGTTCTGTATTTGTGCATCACTAGATTTGCAGACTCACTCTAGTTCTGGGGTCCTGCACAGCACAGGTTGAAGCATCTTCAGCTCCTCAGCTGCAAAGTTGAGCTTCAGGTTTCTGAAGTGAGGACAGCAGTCCAGACAGTACAACAACGCCCAGCAGTCTGTCCTGCTCAGTGGATCCCAGGACATGTCTAACTCCTGCCAAGCTTCCATAGCTTTCTGCACAAACTCCTTCTCGTGGAGCTCATAGAGACAGTGGAGAATGAAGGGCAAGAAATTGTAATCTCTACTTGCGCTAACATGGAGGATCCATTCTTCCAACTGTGCCTGTACAAAGGAAGGAACAGAGAGATTGTGTGTCTCTTCGAGTGAGCTGCTCACTTCTTTATGGGAGAGACCGCAGAGAAACTGAATCACAGGCAGGAAATGAGGTTCAGGACATCCATACTTCAATGGAAACTTCTCATCCAAATATAGAGCAAGATAGCTTTGCGTTTGAGAGTGGAACCGCTCTGTTAGTTTATCCAGAAAGTCTCTTTCCGCCAGTGAGATGAAGTACAGAGCGGTGAAGAACTCCTGAAAGCTGAGATGCATGAAACTGAACATCGTCTCCTGGCGGCTCCTTCTCTTAAAGAGGAACTTGCACAGGAACGGACTGCCAGCAGGGTTTGAAACAGTTTCATGCATGCTTTTCTCTTCAAACAGCACTTGTTGTTCCAGCATCCCTCTCTCTGCCAGCTGACCCAGACTCCTCAGCAGGATTGGGACGGACTGACTCAAACCCTGGCAGTGATGCTCCAGAAGAGTGGACACAAAGTCAACGTAGATGGAGGTGGTGGTTTCTAGTCCACTTGTTACATCTGCACCATCACTGAACCTCTCTCGCATAACCGTGCAGATGATCCAGCAGATGACAGGGATGGAGCAGGCGGTGATGAGGGTTTCATTCGCCTTCACGCACTCAAAAGCTTTTCTGAAGAGTTCTTCATTCTGAAAGAACCTCTGGAAGTACTCCTCCACCTCCTTCTCGGAGAAGCCGATAATCTCTGTGAAACGCTGAGGGTTCTTGAGCAGACCTCCCAGGGTTTTTGTAGCTGTAGATCTGGTGGTGACCAGCAGGAAGGACTCAGACAAGATGTGGCCCCTCAACAGGGCCTTCAGAGAAGCCTCAGGTGGAGCTTTTTCACAAACATGGCTGAGTTTGGGCATGTTCGAGGTGTCACTGTAAGAAAACCTGAGCTCATCGAATCCATCAATGAGAATGAGAACTTTCTCCGCTGACTTCTGCAGGATCTGTGAGATCTGGTCCGATGTTAAATTTGAGTTGTGACTCAAAAGCTCTGCTAAGCTTTGCTCTCCAGATATGTGGTTCAGGTCTTTGCATTTCAAGTGAATCAGACAATCAAATTTCTCTCTGTGAAGGTTTCCAGACGCCCAATCCAGCATGATCTTTTGAGCGGTGAAGGATTTGCCATTCCCGGAGTTTCCTTGGAGAATGACAGAACAAGGACTGATCCCCTTATTATCGACACTGAAAAGCGCATCCAGGATGGAGCTGTCTTTGTCCGCATTATTCTTGGAGATGAGGAGCTGCTGGAAACCCCCTCCCACAGAGCACATCTCTTCTTCTCGCTCGCTCTTTTCTCTGTGTCTCATGATGATCAGAGGTTGTGTGTAGCGCTCGGACAGAAGCACATATCCACCAGGCAGAGAGTTATACTCAGTCACATATTCATATTCCCTCTGGATCCACTTCTTATATTTGTCTGTGCATAATTTATTTGTTAAGCTCATTAGTGGGAAACACTGTTGCATAGCATAAATTGTAGCTACTAAAACATCTTGAACTTCACTTTAAAGGAAAAATTCTTCTAAAAATGAAAATTGGGTCATTATTTACTAATCCTCATCTTGTTTTTGCATCTCTTTTCCATAATAAAAGTGACTGGAGATTGGGAACTGGGGCTGTTAAGCCCCAAAATGACGGAAAATGAATAAAGTGGTCTGGGCAACTTGCATCAAATTCCAAGTCTTTTGAAGTTATGCAATAGCTTTATGTGAGGTACAGACCAAAATATAAGTCAATATTCACTCACAATCCTTCCATCTGAAGCTCTAAAATGCCTACGAAAGATGTTGGGCCTACAAAATTAGTGTCATACAAAATTGGAATGGCATGAGAATAAGTAAATGATGATGGAATTTTCATCTTCGTGTGAACTATGCTTACACATTTAGCATATTTTGTATTAATTTAAATATGTGTGCAACCTAAAAATTAGTCAAATGAAACTTAATTGAACAAGTTAAGTAAACAAGATACATAGTTAAAATGATATACTTACTTAAGCTTTCTATGAGAGCTTCTGCAGTTTGTGCAATGTTACCTGTAAAGGTACACGTATTAACAGTACAAAGTTCACATGCATGTGGTATATAGGCCAGAATGAGTGTGCTCTTACCCAAGGCTCTAAACAGACATGACTCATGCTTTTCCAGTCTAGAATAAAAGGCAGATTTAACCTTGTCTCCACCAGAGTGCAGCACTTCATAAAGCTCTCTCATTTTCTCCTGGTTAGTATCTGCTGCTCTGATCTTACAGTATGGCTCCCACTCCATCATGCCACTTGACCACAGCTCATCCGCTATCGGCATCACCATCTTTACTCTCTGGACAAGTGTCGCCCAGTGGGCATCCACAAACCGAGCACCTGGTGGAGAGATGATAAAATTATAATTGCACACAAGGAAGGAAGTTCAAGCAAAACATATTAGACATTCAAAATGTACAGCAGAGTTTTAAGCATCAAAAAGTGATTTGGACATTTAAGTTACACTTAAACATCGGTTCCATTGCAATTATTTTTTATTAGTTGTTCCCAGCCTTTTTGATTTGAAAGCTCCCCACTGTCTAATAAAGCAGGGTTTCCCAAACAGGGGTTCGCAAAGGAATTTCAGGGGGTTCGCGAGTTGATGAAAAGCTATTAATTAATTAAATTATAACATTAAATAAATAAATAATGTAAAAAAAAAAGGTTTTTTTACATTTGTTTACAGAGATTACCATGAAATCAGCTCTATTTCTGATGTTCCATAAGTGCCACCTGCTGTCAGACAGTGGATTTATGTTTTTATCCAGTCTGTTTGCTGTTTTTGTTCAGATAATTGCAAAAACTGAACCAAATTTTTGTTCTAAATCTTAATGGGTGGATGGAAAAACACCACCTGGCACCAAACTTTTATCAACAATCTTAAGCTTGTCGGTGTATCCTGGGACGAAGCTGAAGTGTTGGCAGAGATCTTATGTCAGGCTTTACAGGGCAAAAATAACAACAAAAAAAGGTTAAAAGTACTGTGGCTTTTCCATTCTGCAGTTATGGTACTGACCGATATTAATACACATATTTTAGGAGAAGCATTCCTGGAAGTGGTCTCCCTTCCTCTAATTTTTGATTGATGCATACAGAGACAGAGACTTTACTGTCATTTTTATTTATTTATTTATTTGTTTGGTTGGTTTTTAGTTACTGTGAAATCATAAATTACAGATTCTAATATGGCTCTTGTAGAAGACACCAAAAGTGTAAAATAAAGTGTCCAATTGTGACAACTCTTTGTGCAACATAATGAGAACATTCTATTACAGCTGCATCTATGTCGTAACTATATTTTTTCCTCCTCGCATATTAGCTCCATGTTTTCACTATATAGGCCATAAAATATAATACAAAACATAAAACACATATGCAAACTTTCTCTAAGGGCTCCATAAATAGTTTCATTAAAAATCTTATGTCAGGCTTTACAGGGCAAAAATAACAACAAAAAAAGGTTAAAAGTACTGTGGCTTTTCCATTCTGCAGTTATGGTACTGACCGATATTAATACACATATTTTAGGAGAAGCATTCCTGGAAGTGGTCTCCCTTCCTCTAATTTTTGATTGATGAATACAGAGACAGAGACTTTACTGTCATTTTTATTTATTTATGTATTTGTTTGGTTGGTTTTTAGTTACTGTGAAATCATAAATTACAGATTCTAATATGGCTCTTGTAGAAGACACCAAAAGTGTAAAATAAAGTGTCCAATTGTGACAACTCTTTGTGCAATAATGAGAACATTCTATTACAGCTGCATCTATGTCGTAACTATATTTGGCATGTGTATTCAGAGGAGAACTGGCCCCCTGGTGTAGCCTGGATTCTCCCAAGGCTTTTCATCTTTGATTGCAAGTTTTTCATTCCTTGCCACAATTGCCTTTGGCTTGCACACTACACTCTAAAAATGCGGGGTTAAATACAACACAGTGCTGGGTAAAATATAGACAAACCCAGCAATTGGGTGGTTTTGACCCAACAGTTGGGTTACTACCCAGAATGTTGGGTTAAACATTTAACCCAACCGCTGGGTCAAAACAACGCAATTGTATTGAACCCAGCATTTTTTATAGGGGGCTAAAGCTATTTTGTATCATGCACTTTATATTACGCCTTTTGTTAAACTGACCAGGGGTGGGAGATATGACTAAAATCTTAAACCCTGTTCATACGTGGCATTTAACTGTGGCAGTGGTATACACCAAATTGTAATAAATTGTACAAACCCTTACAGATTCATAATCCTCCATATCACACCATAAATGAATAACCCCAATTTACATCTATATCCAATTTTTTTTCTGCATACCTACAATACTCAAATAGTCACATGATATATACTATATAGCATATATTAAATGCTTGACTGTTTATAATGTATTCACATATAAACTATACTATCACCTGGCTCTTAACTGTTAAATGTGGAAAATTAAGCTGTCATATACAGTCCCAAAACAAAATTGTACGGATACACCTGCCTACAACAACGCCAGTAACCCGACAAGAACCGGATAAGTTTAAAGGGTTACTCCACCCCAAAATTAAAATGTTGTCATTAATCACTTACCTCCATGTCGTTCCAAACCCGTAAAAGCTCAGTTCGTCTTCGGAAAACAATTTAAGATATTTTGGATGAAAACCAGGAGGCTTGTGACTGTCCCATTGACTGCCTAGTAAAATACACTGTCAAGGCCCAGAAAAGTATGAAAGACATCGTCACACCACACGGATACGTTTTCTACGTTCATTTACACTTTGATTTGAATGAAAACAACGTGTATCTGTGTGGTGCGGCTGACACAGAACAGCGTATGCAGTTTGCGTTCAGTGGATACTCTCCAAAATGGCGCTGCTGTGACAATCCTGATGCTGTTGCTGTGGGTCAGTTTCCTCTCATACTGAAGCAGTTGTCTCCAGAAGCCCGCGTTTGGTCGAATGAAGGGCCGTGCTGCCAGAACCCGCTGATGAGCCTGAAGCAGCGAGAGTCCCTCAAACCGCATGAGATACGCCATGATAAGAGACGGAGACCTGCTTCTCCCGGCTGAGCAGAACACCAGAGTGCTTCCAGTGTGGTTCTGCTGGATCTGCTCAGCCACGCTGTCAAAGTGCTGTTCCAGAGGGGCGTGAGGACGGTCCTCCACCGGCACCCAAACGCACCTCACCCCCTGATACTCCAGACAGGGGTATTCAGCACAGGCGTTCACCAGCAAAGTGATGCCTCTGTGCTCCAGCACTGACTGATTCACGGCCTCCACTCCACTCAGGTACAGACTCGGGGTGATCTGAGAGATCATCACTGTGAGCGTAAGGGAGAAATAATACATTGAAAGTGATTAACATTACATCATTTCTAGAATTAACTAATCTGAAATATATAAGCATATTTCTCACGTAAAAGCTTATAATTAAATAAAAAGTTTTACAAGTACAAATATTCCATATTGAATCTCAATTCATGTGCCACTGATGGCAGATGGACTATTCTGATGATGTCTTTCATAATTTTTATTTTGGGGTGGAGTATCCCTTTAATTTGCCGCCCCGCCCAACATATGGAGGCGAGACGTGACATATTTCAGAAACTTTGTATTTTGACCCCGTTCACAGAAGACAGTATGATCTATCTGGACAACGTGCACAGTAATAAGAGCGACTGGCATTATCAGTTTCATTATTTTACGTATTAACTAAATAAATAGACGTGAAATGTTATTTTTAGTTGGAATAACATTTAACTCTTCTGCATCTACCTGTATCCTGTTTCAGCTGTTTTTGACTGCTGCTCTTGTAATTGTTTTATGTTCACCATATTAACCCTAGGCTACTGCACCGTATTTGAAACATGAATTTCTAAGGCCTCTAAATGATCAAAATACTATTAATCTTTGCTGAAAAGTCTGTTGGACACAATCATCTACATGCCTTCTGCCCTCTGATTGATAGTTCATACATTTAATTTGAGGCCTTTTATTATAATTTTAGTCGAACTTTTAGAATAATTCTGTCCACATTCAGGTTGTGGTTCACATGTCTTTGGGCTGTGAAATATTTAATGATTTTCATTAGCTTAAACATAATAATACATTTTATATTGTTAAATAAATATTTCAAGATTAACTTTTACTGGGCTGACGCAGCGTAGATTTACTTGATTATCCATGCATATTTTTTATGTATGTGTTCAAATCTATACATCAAATATGTTACAACAGACTCAATTATCATTGTATTACACTAAATTTTATGTTTTACTTATCATAATTAAAACTACAGAGCTTCGATCATTAAATTAGGGATTTAAAATTAATCTTACTATGCCATATTACTGGGAGATAAAGAGAGACTGATTACAGTATTAATATGATAATTGATGGTACTTCAAGGAATACCACAGTAGTAACATTAAACATGTTCAAAAACATGTTATTAAAAAAATACATGGTACATAGTGTTATGATCTGATTCATAAAAACATCATCAACACACACACACACACACACTATAAAAATATATCCAGTTCAGGGTGTCAAGAATTATACATTAAGGCAGTATGACGAGTCCTGTGTGAGCTGGATGGCCTCAGGTAGGACGCCCTGTGAGGTAGCCACCATCCTGATGCTGTTGCTGTGGGTCAGTTTCCTCTCATACTGAAGCAGTTGTCTCCAGAAGCCCGCGTTTGGTCGAATGAAGGGCCGTGCTGCCAGAACCCGCTGATGAGCCTGAAGCAGCGAGAGTCCCTCAAACCGCATGAGATACGCCATGATAAGAGACGGAGACCTGCTTCTCCCGGCTGAGCAGAACACCAGAGTGCTTCCAGTGTGGTTCTGCTGGATCTGCTCAGCCACGCTGTCAAAGTGCTGTTCCAGAGGGGCGTGAGGACGGTCCTCCACCGGCACCCAAACGCACCTCACCCCCTGATACTCCAGACAGGGGTATTCAGCACAGGCGTTCACCAGCAAAGTGATGCCTCTGTGCTCCAGCACTGACTGATTCACGGCCTCCACTCCACTCAGGTACAGACTCGGGGTGATCTGAGAGATCATCACTGTGAGCGTAAGGGAGAAATAATACATTGAAAGTGATTAACATTACATCATTTCTAGAATTAACTAATCTGAAATATATAAGCATATTTCTCACGTAAAAGCTTATAATTAAATAAAAAGTTTTACAAGTACAAATATTCCATATTGAATCTCAATTCATGTGATCTCATACAAATGCATGTGATTTTACGAGAATTAGAAAAGTTTTTCAGCAAGAATAAGAAGGGGTTTTCAATTCAAGACATATTTACAAAGAAAAAAAAAATAAATGTATTTTTAGGGTTGTCAAAGTTGACCTGTTCACTCAGGATACTGATCAAATACGTAGAATTTAAGTATTTTGTTTATATTTACATTAACCAAACTTGATATTAGGTAATATAAAAAGAACATTTGAAAAAATAAACATGCATATAGCTTTGTTAAAAAAATTGTTTGTGTTGATCTGCAATAAAAAGTTGTTAATCAGATATGCTATCTTTATAAGTTAATAAAGTAAATATTAAAAATAATATTTTAACAATTTGCTTCAGTACATTGACAATATTAATTAATTTGGGAAACAATTACTTAATTTAGATCTCTTTATAATACATTTATTATTATTATCTTACCAGTATAAATATTACCACAGTAGCTATAAATTAGTTTTTCTATATTAAAATATATAACTTCCATATATATATATATAATTATTATTATTTTAGGAAGAGGATTTAGGATCCCCTCACATTTTTGGGGTCCTTGACATCGAGTATGAAAACTCTAACCCTGCGTCCCAATGTGCATACTATCCACCCTAAATAGTATTGAAAACTACTAATATCCGCTAATATCACATAGAATTTAGTATGGATAGTATGCACAGGCTTAGTATGGCATTGAAGGACACTGTTGTAGGCTACATAAATCACGTCAACTGCCCAACAGCTCTAGCGAGTAACAAAATTGCCTAAATGGATTGATGTGCTCGAACTGACAGCAGACGATTTTAACCATGCAAACCGTAGTTTACCTCAGAGCTCCGAGGACTAAGACAACACTTTCATTCAGTCTTTCCTTCGGCTTTGGTGTGTGTTTGTCTATTAGGGTCTAAGTAAGCAGCTTTACTTTGCAGCAGCAGCATTATAAAGAACACAAGCACCGGCACGAAACAATATCAGTTTTAGTACAGCAATTCTGTAGCTATCATAGAAATATTACTCATAGAATAAGAATAATCTGTACGTAACACGTTCGCCATTGGCAAACAAAACCGTAGTTTACCTCAGAGCTCCGAGGACTAAGACAACACTTTCATTCAGTCTTTCCTTCGGCTTTGGTGTGTGTTTGTCTATTAGGGTCTAAGTAAGCAGCTTTACTTTGCAGCAGCAGCAGCATTATAAAGAACACAAGCACCGGCACGAAACAATATCAGTTTTAGTACAGCAATTCTGTAGCTATCATAGAAATATTACTCATAGAATAAGAATAATCCGTACGTAACACGTTCGCCATTGGCAAACAGCGGCAGCCAACAAGACAGGAGCCCACAGCGGACATATTGGTACTGCAGGTGTTTTCTTAAAGGGAGAGTTCATCCAAAAATAAAACTCACCAGTCAACATTTACTCACCCCGTCTTTCCAAACCTTTAACCTCCCGAGACCCTGCATCCTCATATGAGGACATTATATTTGAGTGAATTTCTCTGAGACTATACATGCCACAGTTTTAAGTCTGGGTGTCCTGTACAGAGCTCATTCAGGGCTTTCCAGAGATACCAAATGTTTGGATGTTTCACCGTGACCACTCCTTGGTCTTCAAAAATGTCTGATATTAATTTAGTGACACTCTTATGGAAATATGATAATATTTTGTAGTTATCACTTAAATCTGACAATTTTTTTTAACTGTGTGTCATAATCAACATCTGAGGAAAATGTTACGTTCTGAGACTATACATGCCACAGTTTTAAGTCTGGGTGTCCTGTACAGAGCTCATTCAGGGCTTTCCAGAGATACCAAATGTTTGGATGTTTCACCGTGACCACTCCTTGGTCTTCAAAAATGTCTGATATTAATTTAGTGACACTCTTATGGAAATATGATAATATTTTGTAGTTATCACTTAAATCTGACAATTTTTTTAACTGTGTGTCATAATCAACATCTCAGGAAAATGTTACGTGGTTTCAAATCAAAATATGACTTTCTGTTACGAAACAGGACATTGATTTCGTACTTGTCCTTATATGAGGACACCGGGACTTAAAGCATGTATATTATGCATTTTGGGAGACACAAAAAATGAATAGGGAAATAAATTATATTTCAATATTCCTATTAAATATTATATATTATGAAAATCTTGCCAATTATTACTCCCATTATTACACTTCTTTTTTCATTAGGCTACATGTTGCCCCAAAAACACATTAATATGCCAATTAGATTTAGTTTATAGATACATTATATATAATGAGAAAACCTGTTTATGACCATTTTACACACATTTTGCATAAAGCAAATGTTATATCAAATCATTATGTTATATAGTTGAGAATTATCTTTATACAAAGTTTGGTAAAAAAAAAATCCTGAAAACTAAAAATGTATTGGCGATTTAGAAGAATTTTTTGTTTTGTTTTTGCCTATGCATTTTCATTCATGTCTTTTTATTTTATTTTTTAAAAATTGAGTCCCGATGTCCTCTCCTCTAGCAAGGACGTAACATAACTTATGAATGAAATATCATTTTTATTTTTATTTTAATGCTCTAAACAATGTAATGACATGAAAAAATACAATGTTTTGCCGGGTCTCAACAGCTTAAAATAAATAAAAATAACTACATAACTAACTAAATATAAACTAATAAAAATAAATGTTCAATAAATGTAATAAGCAGAAATGAAAATCCGCACACGGTTGCAGGGCTGCACCTCCTCAAAAAATCTTTCATTCAATGCTTCATCAGAGGCCGTAAAAAAACAAGTGCAAAATGTGTACAAAGGTGCAAAACGTTTTCGAGACAAAGCTCTTCCTAAGTGCCACATTGATTAGTGCACACCTGCACACATTAAAACATCAATATTCACCATGGACATCATAATATGCGCGCAGCACAAAAAAGCACCATACAATATCCAATTTACCTTAAGAAATTCTAATATATATTAATGGTAAATACTCCTTAATGCAAAAAATCTTCAATACAAAAAAACAGCATTAATGCAAGATGCAAAAAACAACAACAAAAAAATTCAT